TGATCATTGCAAAATTGTGTGTTTTATGTGTGTTTCTGTTTAAAGGCACCTTATTTAATATATATTGTTGATTCATTTAAATCGAACCCGCGACTGATGGCATTGTGATTCATGACTGAATTGAGCTTATCCAACACTTGTATTTTCTCACATCATAGCTTCTTGCACTTTGGAAAACTAGACGGAACTTCAGCATTATGCTTCAAAACCACTGTAACCTGTAAAATCACCAACATGAAGCACAAAAATGGGAATTACATGGCACAAAATAGACTGTGCAAAGTTTAAAATACTTATTTACAGTATAAGTGCTGAAACCAAATGGCAGGACATCACCTGGTTTGACTTAGCTGGGAATGTGTATGTCAGGTGACTCAAATTTCTGCTACCGTGTCCATGTCTGTGAATTGCCACAAAATCTCCAGTAGTATTGATTTTGGGATTACAAACAAATTTTAGCATGTAGGCAAATTCACAAATATGGAATCCACAAATAATGAGGATACACTGTATCTCTAATAAGGACTTCTTTCACCCTTCTTTCCCTTTTTCTCCCTAACTTCATACCTGTTCTGACATCTTCTTATCCATAGAGAGATGTCTGAAATTATATGAAGAAAGAATTGACAAACACTATGATTGGGTGGTGGAATTTTTAATTTGTATTTGAAAACAAAAATATAACAGTATACATTGTAACACATATAATGAAGTCATTATTGTTAAAACATTGATATTAAACTTTATTATTACATATTACAAAAAATAAAATATAGTAAGACTTTTCGTTTGTTTACCACAATGATATTTGTGCTGTTTTTTTCCGTGCTATAATTCAATCTTTCATTAGGAGGTAAGGAAATAGGTGGTCATACACTGCTGATTTTAGTGTAAATTAGCACATTTTGGGGGGGAAGAAAAATGTCAATGATTTTCATTTCATTCATTAATTCCATTTAGGAATTTTACCCATGGAAATAATCCCCCCAAATTTATTAATAATATTATTATTGTTAATAGTTGTAAACATATAAATCAATTCAACAGAACATCAACAAGAGCTCAGAAAAAGGAAATACAGCTTTTAGAAATCATGTTCTTTAAGAATTTGGATGACATTGTTAATGTAATGACAGATAAAATACTATACATGCAGATACAGATGTTAAAAAGACTTGAAGGGCTGGAAGAGGTAGCTCATGACTGTAATCCTGGCACTTCGGCAGGCTGAGGCAGGTGGATCATCTGAGCCCAGGAGTTTGAGACCAGCCTGGGAAACATGGCGAAACCCTGTCTCTACAAAAAATAAAGAAATTAGCAGGGCATTGTGGTGTGCGCCTGTAATCCTGAGGTGGGAGAATCGCTTGAGCCCAAGGGATGGAGGTTGCATGCAGTGAGCTGTGATCTCACCACTGCACTCCAGCGAGAGAGAGAGGCGGAGGGAGAGAGAGAGAGAGAGAGAGGAAGAGGAAGAGGAAGAGGAAGAAGGAGGAGGAAGAGGAGCAATGGAGGGAGACAGGGAGGGAAGGAAAGGAGGAAGTAAAGAAAGATTTGAAGAATGTATAGCTAAAATGTCAGCAGTGATTGTGTCTGGGAGACAGAGTTCTAGGTAAGTTTCATTTAAAAACTATTTGTAGGTATGATTCACCATTTCTACAGTAAATATGTACTACTTTATAAAAATTGATAAAATTATTTTAAAATATACTTGGCCCCTCAAGGAAACATCATGATAATGGTATAATTCACACAAACATTGTTTTTCTGTTGTTGTCATGATTTTTCTTTAATTTTTTTCTTAAATTCTGGGGTACATGTGCAGGATGTGCAGGTTTGTTACATAGGTAAACGTGTGCCATGGTGGTTTGCTGCACTTATCAATCTGTAACCTAGGTATTAAGCCTAGCATGCATTAGCTATTTTTCTAGGCAATACCATTCAGGACATATGTAAGGGCAAAGATTTCATGACGAGATTGCCAAAAGCAATTACAACAAAAGCAAAAATTGACAAATGGAATATAATTATACTAAAGAGCTTCTGCACAGTGAAAGAAACTATCATCAGAGCAAAAAGGCAACCTACAGAGTATAGGAGAAAATTTTTGCAATCTATCCATCTGACAAAGGTCTCACATCCAGAATCTACAAGGAACTTAACCAAATTTACAAGGAAAAACAACCCCATTAAAAAGGACATAAACTGACACTTCTCAAAAGAAGACATTCATGCGGCCAACAAACATGAAAAAAAAGCCCAACATCACTGGTCATTAGAGAAATGCAAATCAAAACCACAATGAGATACCATCTCATGCCACTCAGGATGGCAATTGCTGTCATCATTTTTGTTGTTCTTGTAGTTATTTTTTGAGGACCTTGTACTTGTTTGGCACTCTCATAAATATTGTATCATTTAAAGTAATTTGTAATACAATCTTATAAGGCGGATTTACTTATATTCAATTTATGGATGAGAGTACCAGAGAGATTAAACACATAATCCAAGGTTCTCCAATTAATTAAGGTCCCCCCAATTAAATCCAGGGTCCAGATTTAAACACAAACCTTCCCACTTTCACCTACAAATGACAATGTCAGAGTTGGAAAGCCATTGTTCTGCAGAGACTTGTAGAGCAATCTACCATTTTATTGCCAAAAAAAAAGACATCTTCTATAATGTAATTCATTTGAACCTCACAACAATCCAATGACTAAATGAAAGTACTACTAAAGATGGTTCTTTATATATAATTAGAAGTTATTCCAATTAGGAAATTACGATGTTCAATATATCATTCATTCATTGATCCTACATGTTCCTGTCATGTTCCTAAAACATGCCAGGCATTGTTCTAGTCACCGGTGATGTTAGCAATTAACAAAACAAGTTGCTTACACTGATGAAGCTTTCCTTCTTGTTTGGAGAGACTTTGCCCTAAAAGCAAAAATGGGAAAGGACTTTCCCAGTTTTATGATTCTTCTATTTCTGGATAAGGGGCTTTGAGCAGTGTGGTTAACTTTGTCCTCAGTTGGAGAAGTTGGAGGAGGAATACTTTTTGGAGACTCAAGTGTGTATGGAAAATCAAGGCCTTAAATTGGAGATGCCTATTAAATATCTTATGAGGATGTTAAGCAGGAAGTTACATTTTTGAGTATGAAGTTTAGGTGAGAGGTCATGTGTAGAGATATAAATTTGGGAGACATTGGCTTATATGTGGTACTTAAGTCATAGAATTATATGCAATTATATAGGGAGATGGTGCCCTGAAGCACACCAACATTTAGACGAGTGGAAGATTTGAAGGCACCGAAAGGGACTGAAAAAAATAAATAAAGATAGAAATCCAGAGAAGTGTGGTTCTATGGAAATCATTTACTGTAGAACTTGGATTAGAATGCAGTTCTGATTCCTAGTGTTTGTACCATTCTCCAGTTACTGAAGATTTTAGTATGCTTTTTTTCTTTTTATGCTTACAATTTTGTCTCTAAAAGAGTTATTTAAATAATAATTGAAGTGGTAGATTTGCCAGATGGTAATTGCTAAGATGACTTTCTTGACTCTCTTAAGTCTTTTGGGCACAAGTCCAGTTTTCTGTAACCTTCAAACATATGTGTAAATAGTTCAGTGAGTTCATTACCAAACTCCCTGAACAGAAAAGCATGATATCATCCAGAAGCCAATTCTCACTTTAAGGTAAATGGAGCAATGAACCATTTACCTTAAAGGACCTTCACAAGTAGATTCATCTAGCTGTAATGTCCTTCAAAATTCACACTTTGTATTTTTATAATTCTTGCTTTTCCATAAAGGTAAAACCATTGCATAATAAATTGAACTAATTTTCAATGAAGTGTGTTTTTATACCTGCATATGCTCATCTGTGCACCACCCAGATTAAGAAATACAAATTTTCCAATACCTCGCAGCCACTTCCATGCCCTTTCCCAGTCAATACCAACACTCTTCACTTTCCTCCATCACTATTCTGATTTCAATTTCTATTAGCTACATTTACCTGATCTTGAACTCCATATAAATGAAATTAAACAGTATTTTTTTCCTTTGTTTCTGGCTTCTTTCATGTAATGTGATGCCTATGAGATATGTGGTAGTAGTTTGTTCTTTTAAAAATCTTTCTGTAATATTTCATTTTATGAATATACCACAATTTACGTGTACCTTCTGCTGATGAGGGACATTTGGGTTGTTTCCAGTGTTTGACTATTATGAATGAAACAGCTATCGTGAACACACCACTCATTTCTCCTGGTTATATGCTTGGGAGTGAATTGGTGGATGTATAAGCGCATTTAGGAGTGGAGTTACTAAGCCATAACATAGGCATTTGTGTTTTTCTTTTATTCCAGTCTCTAAAAAATACAAATTAAAAGAATGTGTCATTTATTGCTTATGAAGTTAGGAAATATTTCAGTATGTAGACTACCATTTTCTGTTCTCACCTTCACACACTGCTGGTTGAAGTATGAATTGGTATATTCTTTTTTAGAAAGTATTTTGCCTTTAAATTTTTTATACTACTTGACCCAGGAGTCTTTTCTCCTTTTAATTTTTTAGAACCCATCCCAAGAAAATAATCATAAATATTGTTAAACGTTCTGAAACAAGATATTTACTGGGCAACTATTTGTAGTAGAAAAAACAATGAAAATGATCTATGTCCGTCAATAAGGAATACTTGAAGTAAATTATGTAAGAACCCCTCAATGAAATATTACATTTTATCTATGTAGGTATCAATAAAATGTGATTTAGCATTTTATCAATTGTATATCAATAAAGTTTGACTTTTTTTCTATGAACAAGTTTATAACAATGTAGAAATATGGTTTGCTACAATGCTAAATGTTAAAAGTAGAACATATGTTTAAAGCTTGAACATAACTTTGGATATGGAAGAAACATCTCCCAGGAAGAAATGTCAACAAATTGCTAGTGCTGACCAACAGAATGATAAATTGCTGGGTGATTATTCCCTTTACTCTATTTTTAAAAATTTCTGAAATGTTTAGTCCAGTTGTATTTGTGTGATTGGCTGCCTTTACTGGTCATTTGAGATGAACACTGATTATCCACCTAATAAGTACTTTTTAGTTCAATACTTACCACAGATGGTGGGACCTGGGTGGAACCAAGGTTTCCTAATGCTTCTTAAGAATTTCTTTTTTCCTAATATGCTTCCCAGTGATAACATCATTTCTTGTTGTTGTGTTTTGCATAGACATAATATTTTTACCATTTGCAACAAACAACTGGTTTTGGTATTTTCAAACCAAACTAGTTTCTTAGGGCTGCCAAAACAAAGTACTACAAACTGGGTAAAACAACAATTTTACTCTCTCACAGGTCTGGAGGCTAGAAGGTTGAAATCAAGGTATTAGCAGAGCCATGTTTCCTATGAAGGCTGAAGGTAAGGAATTTCCTTGACCCTTTTAGCTTCTAGTGGGTCCTGGGGTTATTTGGCTTGTGGCAACATAACTCCAATCTCTGTCTCTCTATTTTCACATGGTCTTTTCCCTGAGTGTTTCTCTGTGTCCTCCCTTCTTATAAAGACACCAGTTTTTGGACAAAGGATCTACCCTATATCCAGGATAATTTCATCTTGAGATCCTGAATTAATTACATCTTCAAAGACACTATTTAAAAATATCACATTCTGAGGTTCTGTGTAGACATGAATTTTGAAGGAACACTATTTAATACACTATGAACAGTAACAGCAATATTATCAACAATATGTCTTGTGATTTTTAAGTCCTTAAGCTTAATATACCTAATAAATATAACAACAGTTTCCTTAAATATATTGCCTTCTTTGTAAAAGGTGAGTGGAACCCCAAATTTTTAATAGCGTGATTTTGAGAAGTAGGAGCCAGAAAAGGTTAAGGAATCATATAGTCTGAGATGCTTCAGGCTCTGATTTTGTAATGCTTTGGGAAGACGCATGTATCTCCACAAGAGATGAGATCTGAAAAGGTTAAGGATTGTGTCTAATGTGAACTTACTGGAAAAACAGGAAATGAATGAGGCGCCTGAACATCGAACAGAGATTTTGTTCTTTGCCATTTCTCTTCATGATGTAGAAATTCCAGTAATCCATTATCCACACTAAATCCTTTAGTAGGATGATGTGAATTGCTGTGCCTCATGACTCTTCCATTGGTAGTGGGAATTGTTTTCCCAGCAATTGAGACCTCTAAATTCTGATATTTTTGTTGAGGGAAATTCCAAAAGCACTTACTGTAAAATGAACATGCAGGGGTGAGTTTCTGGCAATTGGGCTTTCCACAGTGTTTTATAGTCGTGTAAAATAGATGTAACAAAGGAAGCCTTTGGACCACAAGGGTCTTTTATCCTGACTAAGCAGCAACACCAGTGTTTAGGACAATACCAGAGAGAGAAGAGTGACATTCAGTTACTCATTTATTTAGAAAATATTTATTGAACACCTATGTACCATTCCCTGGGCTATGTGTTGGGAATACCACAGTGATCCAAACAGTGCACCTTCTTTCAAGGAAATCTGGGGTCTTATGGAGCAGACGAACAAGTAAACAGGCATTCAGAGTACAGGGAAGGATATGGGATAGGTGGCATAGGGAAGTGCAAGATACAAGCAATTATGGACCACCATAGCAGTTTAAAAGAATCAGCACCTAATGTAATCTATGTGTGGTGGTGGTGGTGGGGTATCATAAAGTTCTTGGTTGAAGCGTCAACTAAGCAGAGATCTGTAGGGTGAACTCAAACAGGTCTTCGTCATAAGAGGAGTGAAATAATGTATTCATGGTTAAGTTCTTGGTCGAAGCGTCAACTAAGCAGAGATCTATAGGGTGAACTTAAACAGATCTTTGTCATAAGAGGAGTGAAATAATGTATTCATGGTCTTCCATGCTTATCAGAAGAGTCTTATTTCCACTTTTCTTCCTATAACTACAATTTCAATCAATAGGGGAATGCATCAGCCTTTGTATGAGGAACCACAAATTTAGGCAATTGACACCCAGGGTATATTCTATGACGCATTGTTTGGAAGAATGCCTTGTGATCAGTTATCTCCATGTATTAATAGTAGGAGTTCATCTAATGCTGATTAATAACAACAACAAGGATTTATTAGGGACAGCCAGAACTTGAGATATTTGATGAATCTAGGGTTTTATTTTAAAGTCAAAATAACTGAAGCCTCATATAAGAGAGTTTGTAATGAAGCTTGTGTCTTGTAAGTATAGCTTATGTATTCTAAGTTTTTTGTGTATATGTATGTAGAAGCTTAGATTACCTTTTTAAAATAAACGAACAATGGTGCAAAATTGACCATTTGAACATTAAGTTAATTTTTTAATTTCATGGAATATTATAAATGCGGAGAAAGCAAAAATAAATATGACAAATATTACCACCTTGCTATGTCAAATCTTAATATTTTTGAAATATTTGCTTCAAATACTATTTATTAAGAAGTAAATAATCAGAAGTACAGTTAAACCCCTCTGTGTTTCTTTTCCCTCCCGTTTTATGTTCTCATTCATCAGAGATAATTGCCGAATCCCATTAGAATGTTATTGTGAATTGGGTGTTTATCATTACCTAATTGCTCACCATAATCTATTCTTCTCTTCTTTGGAACAGGTAAATCTTGATTTTTAAAGGGAAGAGTATGTTTCCCAGTTGCCCTCGCAATGCTGTAGTACCATGATTTGGCCATTAAGATTGGGTAGTAGTGTTGTGTATAACTAAAAGGAAATCTCCTTAGAAATAAAGAAAAACATCTCCTTTGCCTGTTTCTCCATCCTGCCACTGGAACTTTGATATAATGGTTAGAGTTATAGCAAGCATCTAGGATCCTAGGATGAAAGACAGTGTCTGACAAGGGCAGAGATACAGATGGAAGAATGCTGGGACTGATTTTCTTGTGGGTTGGCCATATATAAACCTTAGATGGTCTATCTCTCTGCATGTCTTTTACCTGAGAGAAAAACAGGCTGTCATGTTTGTTGTTATTTCTTCAGTCTTTATGTCTAGCAATTAAACTTAAAACTAGCATTGTAACTATTCTAACCTATCGGTATTAATAGTGTATTTTTCAAATTTAAATATATCAACATTCTATTTTTAACATTTGAATTTTGTTACATTTTGAGATTTATTCATTTTAACATATCTAGTTCTAGTTCATTTTTATTTTGTTTATAACATTATACAATTTAATAATTTTTCTGTTGGTGAACATTTAAGTGGTTTCTAACATCTTATTACAAACATGATGTGATAAACATTTTTAAAGAGATGGTTATTTTTACACTTATGCTAGAATTTCTTATTGAGTTTGTATATAATGAGTTAATATAATGTATCTTTAGAAGCATTCAAATTAAGTGAAGAAATAAAATAAAGCTGCTTTTTTTTGACTTCCATTTGAGGCCCTAGACAATGCAATAAGGAAAGAAATAAGAGGTATAAAATTAGAAATGAATAAATTATTATTTCTCCCAGTAAAATTTTCTCATAGAAACCCAAAGATAATTTATAGAACTATTTAGAACTTTTTTAGAAGTTCAGCAAGACTTTTAGATACAAGATCTATATATTTTGTTTGTATATGTATGTATATAGTTTATATATTATTTACTGTAGAGATAACACATTCTTCACTTCTTATTTGCCTAGGTTTTCCATGTACCTATCATTAATTGATTCTAAAAGTCACAAAGTACAATCATTTTTTCAGTATAGTCAGATAAATTCAGGCAATATATCACGCATGGAGGTGTGTGGAATAATTAGACAGAAAAAGACAGATTTGTTTTCTTTGAAGCCTTACATCTTTGTGAGCAGCTGTTGACTGGGGACATCCTTTACCATCATCATGAGAATTACCTTACCTTTGCATCTCTCCTGGGTTGGAGTTCAGGGTAGTTTTTCATTCCTTGCTTTCTCTTTTTAGGTTAATGTCTTTGTTTGGTAGAACATAACCTTCATCTTCTTTCTGAATAAGAATACATGGCATGAACACAAGGAAAAGAACAACAGACACTGGGTCTATTTGAGAGTGGGGGGCACGAGGAGTGAGAGGAGCAGAAAAAAATGACTATTGGATACTAGGCTTAATACTTGGGTGATGAAATAATCTGTACAACAAACTCTCATGACATGAGATTATGTATATAACAAACTTTCACATGTACCCCCAAACCTAAAATAAAAGTTTAAAAAAGAAAGAATTCATGGCAGGTAATTTTTAAAGATATTGCCAGTTTGGAAAATTCTTCTTTCGACCTTCACATTTGGTTGATGGTTTGCCCTAGTATAGACTTCTAAGTTTAAAATCACTACCCCTCTCTTCACACTTGAAGATATTTCTCCATTGTCTTGTAGAATCTGGTGTTCCTGTAAAAAAGTTCAGTGCCACTCTCATACATGAGTGTATAAAATTGTATGCTTTTCTCCTCTATGGACCCTAAGTCTTTTATTTACCTTCACTGTTCTAATATTTCATAATACTATGCCCTGGTGAGGGTTTGTTTTTGTTTCTTGTGTTCAGAGTGTACTAGACTCTGAATGGGGTCTTTTAATCTCTAGATCCATATCCTTTAATCATGGGAAATTCTTGTACTGTTTTGTTATTATTTCTTTCCCTGTGTTTAATCTTTCTTTCTGGAACTCCTAATATTTAGCTATTGGTCCTCCTAAAAGGATCCTTTATTTTTAAAAATTTCCTATTTTTAGCTCTTTGGACTTCATTCTAGGAGATTTCTTCAGATTTATCTTTCAAATACTAAACTGGATTAAAAATTTTTGCTGTCATATTTTTAATTTCAAAGAACTCTTTTTTTCCTTGTTGTCCAAATAGTATTTGTTTTTGTCTCATGAATGTAATATATTTTACCTCTTTGAGACATTTTAAAAACTTTCATTCTTACTTACTGTATTTTCTCTATTTTTGATACTTTTAAACAATTACTTTCATCTATCTATTATGTTGGAAGTATTCTTCAAAAAACTGACAAGTTTTTTGCTGTCCATTTATGTTGAGAGATGAGGCACTTAAAAGTTCATTGAATGGCCAACACATGGGGTGAGGATTTTCTGAATCATGGGCTTCACTATTGGGTACCAAGCAGAGAGTCAACTAGTTCCTTGCAGAATCAGAGTACTCCAGTAACTACATGTCTTTTCACCTGGGGTCGATTGTGCAGAATCCTCAAGGCTACTGCCTGGGCTTGTAAACCTAGATGATGACCTTCTGGCAGTTGAGTGAAAAAGGAAACTGGGCTCTCCTTTTGAGCATTTTTAATTCTGCACTCTTCCCTCAGCTGTACCTGGTATCACTGAGTCCAGAGGCATTGGATTCCATGGTTCAAGTGATAAACCTCATCTTTTGAGGCCCTGAGTGTATGTGGAAATGAG